ATAATGGAAATTGAAGGAATAGATGAACTCTTTGGAAGTCGGGGTTCAGTGAAAGATTATGAACAGTTCATTTCGTGCCTGTTGCTGAAAGCTGTTTGAAATACCCCACTCTGGAGAAACTGTTTTTTTTCTGATTGAACCAACACGATGCCTGTCAATCAGTCCAGTAGGCTCGTCAGTAACTGACCAATCAGCGATCTCAATTTGTCCTGAAGTGCAGCGCCCCTTACCTGCAGAGCTGCACCCCCTTTTCCACTGACAACATTGTCAGGGTTTTTGCATTACGAACGCTTTGTGGCCAGAGGGAAAAAAATGGTTAAATGTTGTCAGTGGAGAACATGTAATTCAGACACGCATTACCCCGAGTGTTTAGAGGATGGAATACAGTTTATTACATTTCCAAAACCTAAATGGAGTCTGGAAAATACAAAAGATGGATAAAGGCCAGCAGCACTGAATACAACAGTGATAAACAGGAAGTACCACATGTTCGTCTGTACGAAAGTAACTGCAGGTAAATCCTCCATTTTATATCATAATTACATTGTAAGTTTAATGGTTAAATTAAAGGTTAATGCTTAAAGCTAGGTGTGTTTTGTTCTGTGTGTTTATATGTAGCTGTACACTGCCTGGCCAAAAAAAGTCACCACCTGGATTTAACTAAGCAAATTGGTACGAGCCTCTTATTGGATAATTACTGCATGGGTGATTATCATGGTAACAAGTTTTTTAACCCCAACTGGTGCAATGAGTTGCTTCTCATTTCTTAAACAACCATGTTGAAAGACACATGGCGTGGTCGTGGAAAAGATGTCAGTCTGTTTGAGAAGGGTCAAATCATTGGCATCAAGCAGAGAAAACATCTAAGGAGATTGCAGAAACTACTAAAATTGGGTTAAGAACTGTCCAACACATTATTAAAAACTGGAAGGATAGTGGGGACCCATCATCTTTGAGGAAGAAATGTGACCGGAAAAAAAATCCTGAATGATCGTGATTGGCGATCACTTAAACATTTGGTGAAATTAAATCGTAAAAAACCAACAGTAGCACTCAGGGCTGTGTTTAATAGTGAAAATAAGAACATTTTCACGCACACAATGTGAAGGGAACTCAAGGGACTGAACAGCTGTGTAGCCTTAAGAAAACCACTAATCAGTGAGGCTAACTGGGAAAAAAGGCTTCAATTTGCTAGGGAGCATAAAGATTGGACTCTGGAGCAATGGAAGAAGGTCATGTGATCTGATGAGTCCAGATTTACCCTGTTCCAGAGTGATGGAGGCATCGGGGTAAGAAGAGAGGCAGGTGAAGTGATGCACCCATCATGCCTAGTGTCTAATCATCAATGTAAGATCTTGGTGAAAAATTGATGCAACACTGGATGGAAATAGATCTTGTGACATTGTAGAAGTTTATTGAAACAATGACACAGTGAATGTATGATGTAATCAAAGCTAAAGACAGTCCAACAAAATATTAGTGTGTGAACTTTATTTTTTTTGGTGGTGACTTTTTTTTGGGCCAGGCAGTGTATGTTGTAACTTCTGGTTGCATAAGTTTAGCCTTTGTTTGCTGTGATCAGTTAAAGCTAAACCCATTGTTTACAAAGTGGTTGTGTAAAGTAAAATTGACACTCAGTACATTCTGAATTTCACTGTAAATTGTTGCCATGTGTCGCTCTGCAGCATGAAAACATCTACTGCAGTAAACATTTTAAGTTACTGCATTAGTAACTTTGAAAATCTTTGCCTTAATGTTGGCAGAAATGCCTCACTGAATGCCTCAGGTAACACCGTGAGCTTCACTACCTCCACCATTACATCCATGTTGCTTTTTTTGTCGGAGGTTAGCTCACCCGGGGTTACATTTCATCGTGGGCGGAGACATCTTATCGTTCGCCTCATGTCAAGTGACAAGCTAATGGCTAGTCCAAGTAGGGTCCAGCTCGGAGTGGATTGTTGCCGATTACCAGCCTCAGACATTTTGTAGCAGTTCATGTGAACACTGTTTTCTAAACCTTTAGGTTTGTCAATTTCACATTACACACCTGTTTCAGAAGGAAGTGTCCTGGTCTGTACAGGAAGTGCTGAGCTGGCTGCTGCCACCGCTGTTTGCGTTTACAAATAACCATCAGCGTTTTCCCTAAGTTGTACATTTACCATTTGATCAATAATATACATAATACAAGAAATAGACGTATAAAGTAGTTTTATACCTTGTAAGATGTAATTATTCAGAGCTTCTAAAATAACATTTTAGAACCTCTTGGAACAGAAAACAAATTAAGCTTTTATTTGTGTATTTATTTATGTTGGGATTATTATTTTAAGTGTGTCGCTCCATTTTTGAGTGAATGTAATCCAATAAATGATGAAATGTGAAGAAAAAAAAAGATTAGGCATTGACTCTGTCGATTGTCTTTGTTCAATTTGCCTGTGTTATAGGCAAGTAAGTCATGCTTTTTTACTATTCCGGTACTTTTAGTTACAAGTTAGTGCAAAGATTTTCAAACATATCACTAGCCAAAATGTGATTACAGTAATAAAGCTTCAAACTAGAGATGAAACAATGAAAGCACAAACGGTTTTGGCAAATTGACAGATTTATGTCCTAAAATTAGTATATTTTATTCAAAGAGATTATAATGTAAAGGTTTCAGCTCATGTAGTCATTTAGTGCAATTTATTTTTCATATTTCATCATTTATTCATTTACATTCATCCCAGTAGTTACGTCATAGTGTGGTTCCAAATATAAGCAAGCTAAACACATCCAAACAGCCTAAACCTTGTTTTCCATAGCTAATCCTGCGTAAAATTTTAAATTACAGATATTTATGATCAACTACAAACACTTGAAACTGGCACTGTTACATAAAGAACATCGTGAGAGTTTTGGGGTAGTTATGAGCTGCAGGTCTGAGAAATCATTAGACAAATGTGAAATAAAACTACATTTAAAACACTGACATCTAAATATTAAAATATATGCAAAAAATATGTTGTAAATCACAAAGTACTGTCTGCCATATTTTAATCCTTATAAAGCTGTGTGGCTCTTTGTTGTTGCACACATACAACTTTAAAAGGTTCTGTACAGAAATATTGTCTATTTTGTAATTTTAGGATGTTGAAGGTTGGGGTGTAGTTACACCTGCAGTCTTTAGTTGTGTAAATAGGTCATCAATAGAGCTATCTACGTCAGGTAAGATGTTGATTGTTCACAAACTTTCTGCTGAACCCTACTTCAAAAAAAAAAAAAAAAACTATCCCTTTAATTAAAGCTTTATTGTTGCTTTTGTAGTGAAGTCGTTGTTGTGCACTTTCAATATTGTTGCTGTCAGGCAGAAAACTTGTATCTTCAATAACTTTAGGAAATTATTTTTAAAAAAATAATAGTTTTTTACATAAACGTGTTTGTCTGGTCAGAATTTTTAAATTTTGTTAATCAAATATTTGAACAGAAAAACTAAAGTTCATCATCGTTCATAAAAATATGTTGATTCTTGTACAAAGCCAGGCTGTGTTTGTGTATACCACGTGTGTACTGAACAAATCTCTTTCGTAGCTTCTTGCTTGATAATGATGGAGTTACGAGGTTAATAAACTCTGCTTCATATTTTCATTGACTTTAAAATTAATTTTAAAAAATGGAGATACAAGGATGATGCCTCACAGTGATTAAATTGTTTTTTTTTGGTTTGTTTTTTTAACTCTAAAATTGATTCAATTGAAATGTGTAGATTTTTTGCCAAATTTAGCTGTCTGTGTGTCATTTGTTTCCCCATATCGTTTCATCACCCCCAAATTCTGCCCATTTGGTCTGAAAATGAAAGAGAGGGGGGGTTCTCTCCTGCTGGATTATGGTATTAAAGTTTCCGTTTTAACAAGAAATGATGCAAAGCAGTCGGAGACGTCGCCTCACCAGGTTTTTGTTTTTCTTACGGAATAATTTCAGTGATCAGAGTTCCATGTCGTCGAGTCGTACTCAACAGATGTATGCATTCAACTGGATACGCAATCACCTAGAGGAGCACCCGGAGACGTCCCTCCCAAAGCAAGAGGTTTATGATGAATACAAGTGAGTGCACACATGGAAATGAGAACAGAAAAATGGTGCTGTCACATGCACATACGTTGTCTTGTCTTCCTGCAGGAGCTACTGTGACAATCTTGGCTACAATCCACTGAGTGCTGCAGACTTTGGAAAGATCATGAAGAATGTCTTTCCTAATATGAAGGCGCGCCGTCTGGGCATGAGGGGCAAATCCAAATATCCTTAAAAACTTCAGTGAAACAATTTATTCTCCATGCTTAATGTTTTTTTTATTTATTTCTCTTAGTAATATAATTTTTTACTGGTAAACGAGGAGCTGTTAAAACCTGCCAGAAGATGTTTCTGGACATTTATTATTGCTTATTATGCTTACATTCATTAAACAATGCACACAGTGGGTTGTGTTGAGAAGTGCCAGTTTGGTCATTTTTCATGTCTTGTTTTTGGAAAGTGCTGATGCTTCAAAAAGCACGTTTTAAAAACCAGCAACAATCCTCAGAAGGTGCAGCCTCCACCAAAACCAGTTCTGTATGTTGCCGTTTTGATGAAAGTGATCCTGCTCTTCCTTAGTCTAAGCTCCGATCTTCATACAAGTTTCAAAATCAGAATCAAAAAATGTTGCCACATTTGCTTTTCTTTAACTTGTTAATACATATTGAATTGGCAACAACCTCCCTGGGTTTAGTTTGTTGGAGAAACAGCAGGGTCATTGGCTGGAGCCTGTCTTTAGAGTGACTTTTTAAATTAATTTACCTTATCTGGATGCAGAGAAAAGCACAGAGTAGATCAGAAACATCTATTCAGCACTTGCCTTAACGCCTTTTGCACATACTGTTATAGCGGGTTGAGAAAGAAAGCTTTTGTCCACATGCCATCCTTACCAAACCTGGATCTGCAGAAATCCGGTGACGGAGTAAGTTGCCCTTCACTGCAAAGGCAGTAGACTTTAGTCAAACCTGAGTCAGTTTGATGCTCTAAACCTGCTGCTCCACTCTGTTTTTCTAGTGTGAGCTGATGGAGCCCACAGGCCAGTCTCCGAGCGCTGAGGACGAAATGAGATCTGCTGCATGTGGACTGGTGTGTGAGTGGGCTCAAAAGGTCCTGAGTCGTCAATTTGACAACGTGGAGGATCTGGCTCGCTTCCTGCTCAATAGTCACTACATTGGTACAAAGTCCATGGCTGCACTCACTGTTATGACCGGAACACCCACAGGTAAATATATACCGTAATTCTCGGACTACAGAACGCACCTGTCTCCAAGCCACACATACTAAATATAAGATAAATCATAATTTCTACATAAATAAGATGCATATGTAACAGACTTGACCGCTTTGCATCTCCAATGCCCGACCATCGACACGTTGATGCAAAGCTTACGGGCAGCAGCTTTGTTTTCTTCTTCAACAGCCAGATCGATCGCTTTTAACTTGAAAGCTGCATTGTAAGGAATTCTTTGTGCATTTTCCATTATTGCTGACCAGATGAACAGGTCTGTGCATGAAGCGTAAAATACGGTAATGACACGGGAACGATCTGAAGAAATTAATGCACATCTATCTTGGGGGATGGTCCTCGAGAGTACCTCATTGGTCGTTCAGGTTAGACTTCTGGTCACATGATGACAGAGTAGGTGGAGTCATGGTAGGGAATTTTACACCCTGAGTAAGAGTTGTCGTACATCTGATTACCTGAGGGCATTCACTCTGTGTCACAAAAGCCTGCCCCCAAGAGGGCTGGGTGCAGGGCAGCTCTGCTAAAGGAAAATGTTCTTCAGTGGCAGGAAGCTGCCAAGAGACAACAAGAGGTCTTTCAAAATAAAATATGAAAATTATGAAGAAAAAAACCCATAAATTAGCTGCTCCTGTATATAAAATGCGGGATACAAATTGTGAAAAAAGGGTTGCAGCTTATACACCAGGAATTACAGTACTATATATCAATGCTTTTCAACTAAACTGCTTGGAGGGTGGGGGGCACAGTTATTAAAAGCCAACAGTTCAGGGGCCGGACATCCAGCAATTAAAGTCATTATGCAAATAAACAAAGTATTACAATTTATTTTCTTGCAATAAAGTTATTCTAATGTGAAAAAAATATATATTTTTAAATGACACACTGTGCCTCCCATTTTACACAAATATCATTCTGCCATCTCTTGACTTGTCAAAGCTTTACACTTTCAGAAAAAGAAAAAAGTTGACCGTTTTTGATGTTCCCTGAATGCACATGTTGCTGTTCCAGGTTCTCATTTACAATAAAATGGCTGCACAGACCAGTCCTTCCTCAAACGATTCATAAATCACAGGTGAAGCGTCCTGTCCCGCTCGGGTGTGAGCTTTGAGTGGAACCAAAAGAGGCGGAGCAGAACTCAGCTGGGCTGAAAGCGAGCGCAAAATGTGTTTAACATCTCCTTCTTGTCATTTACTAAATGAATTAACTCATTTAATCCATCCTCTTTGTGACTAACTATTTTTAAACCAACTAAAAAGTTGCTGTGCATTCTCATCAATATATCCCCCTGTTATAAATCTGTTGGCTGTTGTTTAATTCGGCTCGCGGGCCAATGTCATCTACCCCCAATATGTTGTGCAATTTTAGCTTGTGTAAATATTAGGTTTTAAAAAAAAATTCAATTTTTGTATTAATTTCCAACATATGTTTCTTTTTGTTGGCATTCATTAAAATAAAGACTCATTATTTCTAGAAGAAATACATATAGCTGCTTTCTTGCCAGAGATTTAAACTAAAAACATCTAACGCTGGGAAAAGACAATTATTTTGGTCAAACCTTGCAAATGATGTTATGCACAATCTTGTGATATTAAGGAACCTCGTGAGATGTGATTGCACTCAGAGTGTGGGTTTGTGATGACTGTTACTGCCACACAAGATTTGAGTTGATCTTCTAAAAACACTGGCTGAGTTGGTCATTATTTAGGTTTTTAAGACTGACTAAGCCGCGCTGGCCATCTTAAATGAGATTTAATTTAAAAAATCAATCAGTTGTATACGTACAAGCAATGATTACATTTTGAGAGTTCATTAAAATCTGTTCAGTGCTTCATGATATATTTTGCTAACTCCACAGAAAAATTAATACGCACAGAGACAGACAAAAACACTCTCCTTTGACCTTTGGTGACGGGCAAAATATGCAAGTTTTACTATAAAAGGGCTTAAAAATGACTTGAGATAAATAAGCGTTATTGATTTAGTCTGCGATTTATTCTCTTATAATTTCTGTTAAATTTAACTAATTTTCAATCATGTCTTTATTTTGGATATTTTCTCTTTCTTTAATCCTGCAATATACTTAGACTTTTGCAGCTGTGGCCTGTTTCTTAAAATTAACTTGAGGACACTTCTTAAGCACATATAACCAGTGGCGCAGTCTACATTTTTGTAGTGGGTGTACTGTGCTTGGAAACCAAAGTGCACTGGTTAGTACAATGTAAATGTCAATTTGTTTTGATTTTAAAGCATATTGAACATTTCCAAATTTCTCTGATGCTTATATTTGAATAAATGTACAACAAACTTTGTACAACAGTTGGCTTTGTATTAAAAGCATGTTGTAGAATTTATAAAACAGTATCCAAGCAAAACATGTTCAAGTATTAAGTAGTAAGTACAGAATTATACAATAATTTGCTGGATAAGCGAATGTAATTAACAAGCGCTGCATACAGATAGATTGTTACTGAAGCATTTAACTGCTGTTTAACATATCAATGACACGTGTCTAATGGTATGTCGTGTATCAATGGGCACTTTTAAGTGGGTATACTGGAATTCTTAAGATTTTCTAGTGGGTGTACACTGTGTTCCCACGTATGGTGTAGACTACACCACTGCTTATAACACAAAACAAATGAACAACTTGTTTCACAATTAAACTTATGCCTGCAAATTTAAAACAAGTTTTCTTATCACCGTCATGCTTGTGTTTACGTTGGAAATGAAAAAAAAAAAAAGAATTTTGTCATATTGAAAATTGTGGGAAATTTTATTAAACTGATCCTTCTTCACAATTAAAAACAAAAGTGCCATGCACTGTCCGTGGTGCTGAAAGCGTAACCTCACAAACAGTTCTCAGTGAACGAACTTTTGCACAACAGAACACCACTGATAATCTGTTGCATATTTCATAATCTTTTCTTATGCCTTGACAGGAATGAAGACCCCAACTCCAGCCTCTGCCTTTGTGCCCACTGCTGAGGCAAACGCATTCCAGCCCCAGGTGAAGACCCTTCCATCTCCCTCGGTTGACGCAAAGCAGCAATTGCAACGCAAAATCCAGAAGAAGCAGCAGGAGCAGAAGCTGCACTCCCCCCTGCCTACAGAGGCCCAAGTCAAGCGGACAGAGGCCAGTACCCCCGGACCCACCATCCCCTGCGGCAGCCCCGCTCTACTATCCCCTCAGCCCACTATAGGAATCGTTGTAGCAGCTGTCCCCAGCCCAGTCACGGTACATGGCTTACTTTTTCCCACAAAGCATGTTCAGAGATGTTGCTCATATATGTGCTAACTTGTGTTGTTGCTCCATCAGGTACAGAGAACCAGGCAGATAATGACCTCACCTAGCCCTGTGGGGACAGCAGAAGGAAAAGTGTTGCCTGTGAACTTTCAAGTTGTCACCCAGTCTCTCAAACAGTCCCCAAAAACTCCTCAGAACATCCCAGCTAGTCCTGTAGGTGACCGGCTGGTACGGCACGGTACGCGGTATGCCCAGATCCTGCCCAAGCCCTCTGCCACTAGTGCCATCACGCTGCGCTCTCCACCCACCCTGCTCATCACCAACAGTCCCATAAAAACCGTGATGCCCTCTCCCCATGTCAGCTCAGTGAACGTTGTGAAGATGACAGCTATTGCTTTGGCTCCTAGCAGCAGCAGCAGCACAACTGTGCGACCAGCCTCGACAGGCGTGAGTACCTTGGCTGCGTCAGACGATTCCCAGCAGTCACAGAGTGGAGGTTCAGCTGCCCCCCAATCTCCTGTAGTCAAACTCTGTGCAGCAGCCTCCACCCCAGTCCTCTCTGCAGACACTAAAGCGGTGTCTGAAACTGGAAATAACAACAGCTCCACATCTGTTGCAGAGAAACATGTCGGTGGAGCCAAAGAGGAGAGAGTGGCCAAATTCAGGGCTGCGAGTGAGCCAAGCTTCCTTGTTAAGTGTTCTCCAGGACCAGAAAAAGTGGTTAGGATGAAAATTGACTCCACGTCCCCTCCCACCGCTACAACTAGGACACAGGACAGCAATAACAGCAACTGCCATGACAGTACTTTGTACCTGACTGTTGATAATCAGAACTCTAATGGCAACTCATCGTCCAGTGGCTCGTCTGCTGTTACCCCGATGTCGAAGGATCCCTGTCTAGATGCCAAGAGTCCTAGGAAACGCACGGCTGGGGAATCCCATGTCATCCCTGTTAAGAGGGTGTTTATCTCCCAACAACCACTTGCTGTAGTTGACAATCCCAAAGCTGGGGTCAGTGCTGCGTTGAAGAGGATTCCCAGACCCGGAACCCCTGCTAGACCAGAGAGTGCCCCCTGCAAAGGGACTGCGAAACACACACCTACAGGGCCCACACAGATTCTTGCACTCACTGACGCTCCCCTCACCCATACAGAGGGAACGCAGACGGTCCTCAAACAGCAGGATGTGCTGGTGAAACATGAAGACCCTTCCATCAGCGTGGGTACAAATGTTGGAGCAGCTGGAAACAACACATCTGATCAGGCTTTGCTGCAGCAGATCACTGGGGACCCTCGTGCCATACCAGCCAACTCAGGACCACACGAAGCCTCTGTGAGCGAGCTAAAGAGCACAATATGGGAGACACAGCAGATACCAGCAGAACACAAACAAGCCTCTTCCAACCAACTTTCCATGATAGCTCAACCTTCTGAGGCCTCGGACCAGTTGAACCTTGCACAGGAAATGGTTGACTTTGCAGGTTCCCAGTCCAACATGGACTATTTCCCGTTCAATGACGACGACATGACCCAGGACAGCATCGTCGAGGAGCTGGTCCAAATGGAGGAGCAGATGAAGCTCAAGGGTTTGTTTGGTAACTGCGTGGATGTGTCCCTTCAGAGTCAGTCGACTAACGGTCAAGGTTCAATCCTCAGTGCTCATCAAGCCAATTCCACCTTCTACCACTCTGCCCACAGCAGCACCACCCCTGTTCAAACTCCCACTCCAACACCAACGCCTACCCCGACACCAACGCCCACCTCCGAAATGACACTTGTGCACAGTCTGACAAGGGAGAGCCCCTGCTCCCGTATGGCCCCCATCACCCCAGTGGATGGAGCTATGGGTCGTCACACACCCATCAGCACGCCCCTGTCCAACTGCAGCAGCAGTGTTCCCCCAAGCCCAGTGGAGTGCAGAAACCCTTTTGCTTTCACTCCCATTAACTCTAGCATCACCGGGTATCATGACGCCAGCATCGTTTCCAGTAGCCCCGTTAAGCCGATGCAAAGGCCCATGGCGACACATCCTGACAAAGCCAAACTGGAGTGGATCAACAACCGCTACAACAGCACCTCTGCTGGTCCTTTGTCCAACCATAGCATTGGCATTCTGCCCAGCTACCAAGACCTGGTAGATGATCAGTTTCGTAAGCCTCATGCATTTGCAATTCCTGGCCAGTCATTTCAGTCTCAGTCGAGACAGGACGCTGCTCACTTCGGCCGCTTAACACCAATTTCTCCAGTACAGCAGCAGCAGCAGATAACAAGTGTAACTACTCCTACCAAACAGGAGAGTTTTGCAGTGCCTGCACCGTTAGACAACAAGGCTTTAACCTCATCCACGTCCAGTACTTTTCGTTGCCGCAGCGTTAGCCCTGCTGTGCGGCAGAGGAACTTCAGCGGAAACACTGCTCCTCCAACCACCACCACGAGCACTACGACAACCACTCGAGCTGTGGTCTCACCCTTTAACTCCCCCATCACATCTGAGGTGCTCAGTATCCTGTCCAACAGTCAGGCTGTCAGTTCTGTCCATAGCATGGTCCAGCGTAGTCAGTCTGTACCTCTGAACATCATGATGCAGAGTGAGATGCTGCCTGTGCAGGGTCAGAGTAACACATCCAAGATCACCAACGTTCTGCTCAGCAAGATGGAAGCGGAGGGTGACGATTCTGTCCGCGGTCTGGGCATCAACAACCTCCCCTCCAACTACACGGCCCGTATGAACCTCACACAGATCCTGGAGACCACTTCAAGCTTTGCAGGAGGAACTGCACATCAGACTCAGTTGCCTGTCAGTTCCAGCCCTGCTGCCTTTGAGCTCCAGCAGCACGGCTACCTCACCACTAGCAGCGGAGAACAAGTGAATTTCTCCACTGGGGACGGTCAAGCACAAATGGGTTCTGGTGAGCAAGACCAGCACCAGCAGCAGCTCCAAGAGGATCCTGTGCAGACACAACCGCAGCTCCTCCTCCAGAGCACACAGCAGCAGGATGTGGAGGACGAACAGCAACAGATTGATTTCAACAACACTGTCAAGGACTTGCTGGGGGAGGATAGCCTCAACCCCAGTTCTCAGCTAGTAGGTCAGGTAGCTTCGGAGCTCAACGCCGTGGCGTCTGACTTTTCAAGCGACATCAGACTGACCTCAGATCTGTCCAGTAGCATCACTGACCTTAATACATTGGACCCCAACTTGCTGTTTGATCCCAATCAGCAGCAGGAACAATATGAAGACTCGACACTGGAAGAACTGAAGAACGACCCCCTTTTTCAGCAGATATGCAGTGATACTGTGAACTCTGGCTTCGACTGGCTAGAAAGCAAAGACCAGCCTACTACAGTAGAAATGCTGGGTTAAGTTTTATTCTGTATAATTTCTGTTCTCTGTCGTTTGGGTTAGTGCATATGTAATATATCTGTTTTTAAACCAGTTCGTTGGGATTTGTCTGGACTTTGCCGTTCATTCTGTTTAAAAGTGCCAGGCTTACCAGAAAATCTCTCCCACTGATGTGTAATGACTTACTTCCCTTATCATTTTGTCACCAAAAACATGTCAGTACCCCCCCCCCCCCCCCACTGTTCACCTAAAACCAACAATGTAAGCATTTCAAGTAAAGTGTGGGCGCTTAGTAGGCACTTAAATACATATTTCTGTGCTATGAACATTCTCTGAAGGGTAATATTCAATAATGCAATATTTATACCGTATGAACAAATAAGGAAGGTGATATGGTTTGGAAATCTGGCACAAAATACTTCACCAAAAACACATGCCGTTGTACTTTTTTCAATGTGTGCAGTTCAACCAAATGGAGACTATTGGTATTTGTAGTATATGCACATAATAGTTTTAGTACATTTGTCTGCCATATCAAAATATTACAAGGGTTGCATCTTAAGCTCCCAGGTGCTGAATTTCTGACATAATCTTTATACTTTATCATATGCTAAATCAGTGGAAAACTGATTCACATCTGAGCTTTGTTCGAGAGTGAAATTTCTCAAAGCCTATACTTCTTGCACTGTTTAATATCTTACAATGGGAGTATATGAGTCATTGGGGAGAAGATGGAGATGTGGGCCGCTCCTTTGGATTGCTCTTTGAAAGAAATCAACAACTGGCTGCCTTATTCTCAGAGTCTAAGGCCTTACGCCACCTTAAGAGAAACTGTATATAGTATACTGTTTTAAGATATCCAGAGCTTCATTGTTTTAAGGCAGCTGTTACTCTGATGTTTTCAGTACTTCTTATTTTTGTTTTGTTACAACTTAAACTTGTTTTGTGTATGATAACTATACTGTGTGTGCCCTTGTTCATTAATTTGGAGACATTTGCCATGACTTGATTTCTTAAAAACCCTCAACGGGCACATTGCAGTCATGAGATTTTTTTAATTTGTATTTTTTTTTTCCCATGGCATGCTAAACCCCCAGCTTGAATCTGTAAAATGAACGGTATGGAGAGGGCGTTGCTGTGAGGGAATACCTAGAGGTCACCAGTGTTCTGCTTTGATGCCATCTTGAGATCAAGAGTCAATTATGTTTGCAGACATCCAGCCTTACGTCCATACCAAAGATGATCTGTTTGAGAATCATAAGATTATCACACGTAGAAACACTCCGAGTAGACATTACCAACAATGGGAAGTGGGCAGCCTCAGAGATACGGGGGAAAAAAGAAAAAAGCTAAGGATTAAGTTGCGTGAATCTTATGTACAGTTTGTAAATTTGTGAAATGGTCACCATCCTATGTTTTATAGGTAACCATGGACCTGAAAGCATGTTGAAACCATCACTGCTAGCCAGGTAGGCTATGTGATAACAGTAGGATGCTTGCTTGAGTTTTTGGCGATTTGTCAATGTTGCAAAAGTCATGTTTGAGCTCCATCTGTAAATAGGGTAGAAACATAGAAATTTGATGTATCAAGACACTATATTATGGCCATTATCTAGCTAAGTATGTGCCATTGAAAAGAGAAAAAAAGCTTAACAGATTATAGTTGGCAAGATACTGTATGTTGTGTGTTACATTTCTGGCTCAATGTGTCGTAACAGTAAAGCTGTCTGGTCTCGCTTGCTGATTTTATTTTATTTTATAATATATATATATATAAATATATATACCCGAAGATAATAGGACTCTGCAGTTGCAGAAGTGACATGTGCTGTGATCAGGATCAATAGCATGGAGAAATTTTTTCAAAAAGTTGTGAAACTTAGCTGGTTGCAGACGTTCTCTGTGACATTGTGCTCAAAGTCTTTCAGCAGACACTGGATTAAAAAATGTTTCAACAAACTTTGGAGGTTCACCTATATATTGCACTAAATTTTTACGACACATGGCTTTGACACATCTTTATGGACAAAATAGTGATGGATGCCCAGGAAGTAAAAAAAAATATTTTTTATGAAAAACATGAGTAAGGAAAATATGTCAGAAAATGACTTAATTGTCTTGTAGCAAAATGTGCATTAATCTCAGTGAGATACACATTTCTTACTCATTCTCATACACGAGAATACAAAGCATTGAGGGGAGAAAACGATAAACGACCTTTTAAAACTTACACGTTCATTATGTTGATAAATGATTGTACGCACGCATGTGTGATGACTTCTGTTGTACTTTGTAATCTTGATAACCACTGTCTTCTGTGATTTGGACAGGTTCTGTTAACCATACTGGCAGTGCTAGTTTCATGAGTTGCATTACTCTGAGTGTGTGTGTGCTGTTTACAAAGTTAATGTTTTATATTTTATGTTTGTTGGCAACTTTACCTGTTCATATTTTGAAGAATGCATTTGTGGTAAGAAAAAAAAAGTATCATTTTCTCCTCATTTTTCTTTAACGTAACAACACTGATATTTGAATGAAGGAAATGCACCTCTTTATGATTACAGCAGCTCCATCAAGCAGCGACTCTGATTCTTTACCTTTTACTGATCCAGCTCCGTTTGGCTATCTTGTCTATTTCTACCAGTAGAAAAAATATCCCTCCTCTGTGTTGTTGTCTGGTGTTCTGCTTAATGTACAGTAGCTTGTTAATATTGCAAAAGCGTTGTTTCCTTTTGTCTTTTTTTTTTTTTTTTCAATGGAAAGTACTCACTGGTGAGATTTTTAAAGTGGTTTTAAAAGCCAATAAACTTTTTTAAAGAATGTTCTGGCGTGTTTTAAGTATGGATGTTTTTGTATTTACTCATGGAAATGAAAAAAGTACTTTACAGCATAAATAAAAATGACTGTAAAACTGGAGTCATTGCAGCTTCAATCAGTTAATTTAACAGTATCATGATCTCTAAATTAGGTGTTTTTTTATTTACTCTAATTTATACTTAGAAAATAAAGTAGAAAGGGAGGATGTGTGTGCAATGTGAATTGTAAAACGTTCCTATTTAATTTTTGCAAACAATGACATATATCAAAGTTCATGGATTACTGAGCATGAACTTGGATGTATTGAACCACTTTGGCTGTGTTGCCTGGTAGGAGTTGATGGGGGAGAGGACAGGCCACAGAAATCATCTTATCACCAGCAAACTGGATGGTTCACTGCAGGAATGTACTGCATGGAGGGGAAAACAGTTTGTGACTCCTCAGATTGAAGAAGCCCTTTGGATGGTGGCCAAAACATCTCAACAAAAAAAGGAACTGTTCAGATGACCTGACTGAACATTGAATGACATACTCACCCAGTCAATTTTATGCAAACTGGAAACTTCTCCATCCCCTTCCAGCATGAGGTTAGAGGTCATCAGCCCTTCCAATGACATTTAAGGTCAGTAGGGGGTGGCCTGCCCTAGAGACAAGATTCAGCCAATCAGAGCCCAGCTCAGTGGTCTTCTGCTCTGCTTTCCCAGGGCGCCATGGCATTCATAGCATGGTAATGTTATAACCCTATTGATTGTAGCCAAACAGCCAAGTTGACCATGTGGACCCCAGCAATACGCTCAACCATCACAACACAACATTTAGCATTCATTCATCCGTTTTCTTTACCCACTTTTTCTTTTCTTGTTTCACAAGGAAGCTGATATCTAACTCCAGCAGTCACTGTGCAAGAGGTCGAGTACATCCAGGACATCCTGGACATGTCACAAGTCCATCACAGGGACACATTACAGACAAACGAGACAACAATTCAATCATTTAACAGTCAGATTTTACAGCACTTTGTGCCTCCACTTTTGACATTTTTTCAGGACAAATATTCAAAGGCTGGAGTTGTCAAATGAGTTTTTTAGAGATGGAAGTTATTTTTTATGCATGTCCACAAAAGTAAAAAACATGAGTTGCTTTGTACTGAGTTTTATTTTAAACATTGTTGCCTGTAAACATTAGTTAGCTGGTAATCAACCATCCAAAATAAAACCTCTTCCTACTGATTGCTAAAAAGAATAAAATAAATACCTAATAAATTCATGTTTTTTAGTGAGAATCAAATACTTGAATTAAAATATCTCCAAATCTAAACTACTTGATAAGCACATCACCAGATGTTACCAACCTGACAAGCAGATTGAGCCTTAAATTATATTTATAAGGCTTTAGATGATTAAATCAATAGCCCGCTCTGATCAATACATAATTAAACTCTGCTCTTCTCCTTTGATTGCATATTGAAGTGTGGAGGTGCAAGCTCGTGGCAGTAATCCCTTGAAATCATTCACGGTTGAGAACAGAAACGTCTGATAATATTATGTAAGGTAGTTTGTTGGTATGAACGTGAGTACTTTATTTACCTGTACTAGTGGATCCATGTTTTTGCTGATGCAGTGTGGCTAAGCCACCAGCTGGATCCTATTGTGTCACTTCTGAATGAGGGCTGGGAGACGGGAGGGTCATTGTCAAAAGGCACGGACGCAGGATCAATATCTGAATTCATTAAGCAGCTGACTTGCAGCCATCAATATCTCTTCATAATTACCAGGTTCTGTGGAAGGTACAGATGCTGTTCAGAGCTTTTTACACATTGGTAACCGATAATTACCAATGTGGATACTCATCTACATCTATTGTGCCAAAAAGAAAAACGCATCTTACCAAGAAATGCAACACACACACAATCAGAGGTTCATGTTCATTGCTTTGTGTGTTGATGCACTAACTATGCAATACTTGATTTAACAGGTCAGTTAAAATCTGAGAGAACTTCAGTTCAGGTGAGTTCTGTATTACTCAAGACTTTGCTTTATTCTTAACACATTCTGTGCTGTAGGACACACATTGTATGAAAATAGGAAAGTTAGAATGAATAAAATCATCTCAACAATGTAGGCAAATTTGAAAACAACAAAAATGCAAAAAGGCAGACATGTGTAAATTCCTGGTGAGTTAAGTAGCTTATTAAATGACAGCAAAACATTACTATGAAAAATGTCTAGTACTGTACAGTAAATTGGTTGACAAAGCAGCTAAAGGCTTTCAGAGAGCCTGGTCAGGCTCCTTGGAAACATTATGCAGTATAAGTCAGAGTCAGAGTGTTTTTTTTATTGCCATTCGCACCGCATGTGGTACATGTGGTGGAGCGAAATTATGTACACAGGATCCCAGTTACATCCAACAATAAAATGTATAAGAAAAACAATGATAACATCTAAGATATGAACTAAGAAAAACATCAACTAAATATACACTAAGTACTAATAGCATAAAAAACATTACGTCGAACATCAGCACAAACATGAACATGAGTCTGTGTGAGCAGATGAGCACACATGAACACATCAACACTGAAACAGATCAGCAGCAACATGAAACAGATCAGCAGCAACATTATTTAATTTTTTTCACAATGATTATTCTGGTTAGAGATTCATGAGTCTAACAGCCTCAGGGTAGAAGCTGTTCCTCAGTCTAGTGGTTCTACACTTAATGCTCCTCAACCTCCTTCCTGAGGGGAGTGGGGCAAAAAGTGTGTGTGCTGGGTGAGTGGGGTCCTTCATGATGCAGGTGGCCCTCTTCCTGCATCTGGAGGTGTAGATGTCTGTGATGGTGGGGAGACTGACTCCAACAGTCTTCTGTGCAGCCTTCACCACTCTCTGCAAAGCTTTTCTTTCTGCAGCTGTGCAGCCTCCATGCCACACGTTGATGCTGGAGCACAGGATGCTCTCCACTGCACACCTGTAGAAGGAGGTGAGGTCTGAGCTTCCCAGACCAGCTTGTCTCAGCCGCCTGAGGAAGTAGAGTCTCTGATGAGCTTTCTTGATCAGGCTGGTGGTGTTGTTGCTCCAGCTGAGGTTGTTATTCATGTGTACACCCAAGTACTTGTAGCTGGAGACCACTTCCACCACAGATCCTCTTATGTTCAGGGGGGTGTAGGTGTTTTTGTTCCTTCTGAAGTCCACAATCGTCTCCTTTGTCTTCTTCACGTTGATGTGAAGGTTATTCTCTTTGCACCAGCTCTCCAGGTGTTCCACCTCTTGCCTGTAGCTGGACTCATCATTGTTTGTGATGCATCCCACCACTGCTGTATCATCTGCAAACTTTACAATGTGACAGCCTGGATGGGTAGCTGCACAATCATATGTGAGCAGAGTAAACAGGTCGGGGCTCAACACACATCCCTGAGGAAGAAGGGAAGACTCAATACTTTTGCGCAGCACTGAACTTTTATAAAAATGAAGAATTGGAAATAGCTATTGATTCTACTAGAGTAGATTTTTTTATGTTTTTGTTTTGTGCACTCACTGAAATTTCCAGAGTTAAGTGTGTGTGTATATATATCCATCCATCCATCCATTATCTTTACCCGTTTATTCCATTTTGGGTCACGGGGGTCGCCGGTGCCCATGTCCAGCAATCACTGTGCGAGGGGCGGGGTACACCCTGGACGGGTCGCAAGTCCATCACAGGGACACAGAGACAAACGAGACCAACAACCATTCACTCTCTCACTCACACCTAGGGACAATTTAGAGTTACCAATCAGCCTAACATGCATGTTTTTGGTCTGTGGGAGGAAACCGGAGTACCCGGAGAAAACCCACGCATGCACGGAGAGAACATGCAAACTCCACCCAGAAAGGCCCCTGGACCGGGGTTTGAACCAAGGACCTTCTCACTGAGAGGCAGCAGCTCTACCAGTTGTGCCACCGTGC